TGATGGATTGACTTCATTTGTCCCTTTGACAAGTCATAGCTGGACGTGGTGCCGAGAATAGCAGGACTCACTGACGATGCCGACGAAACGTCTGGAAATTCATCAGGTCCATGGTCCGACTCTGGAAATCATCATTCATATTATGGACTCCTGAAAAGGTGCTTCCGCTAGGTATTCCTGCCAATATGACCAAGTTGCGAAAACAAGCTCAAATGACTAAAAAGCAATATAAATCTGATCGGAAAAATTTGTAGGTGAAAGTACTCTAAGTTATATGCTAAACGAGCATATATCATAACGGATAGCGCTAAGAATATCCTGAAAATCACTGGCCTAGAAAGAAAGGATGAATAACTTATCAAAATGGAAGAACGATCGTATAACTAACCTGGCTTTGCAAGAGAAAGCATCCTGGTCTCCTCCGATCTGCCAGAAGCTTTATCGAGAGCCTGTCTCAGCAGCCCAGATGCTAGTAGATTTGCCATCTGAGAAATGGACATGTCGCAGCTAGTAGTAGAAGCCAAGTCGTCAAGCTCAAGCAGGCGACGATGGTCGGCTGAACGTAGAGGCTGCAACCACGCAGCTAGTGAAATAAAAGAAAGGCTGGTGGGCTGGGTGAAGAGGAAGTAGGGAGAGATATGGGCCGTTAAGATCATCAGCAAGTATAATATGGACATTTCCAACTATAAAGTAAAGAGGTTACTTTTAATTGACTTAAACAGAAATTATAAAGCCAATGAAGTCAAAAGTGTAGGTCAATCAACTTTTCTAAAAAATGTTAACATTTTTGTGCCACTAATAAAAATTCTGTGGGTAATGTTAGGCCGGAAACTATGTTTTTTAAATTAAAATATAGCAACAAATAAATAACGATGATACATAACAATATTTATTTAAATGTAGGCACAAGTATAAGCAACTTGATGATGGCAAATATGTGTTTACCCTATTAATACAAATCAACAGATGTAAGATTATCTATAGCTGTTTTGCAGAAAGTCAGTTGCTATTATTTGCCTCCATGGCACTTTGGCCTGAGAGATCATGCCTTATCAAGGATTCACAATGAGACAAAATCTGAATACAATTACTGTTGTGAATAAGTCCCAAATAAAGTCGGAAGTATGACTTGTAATCAAGAGGAAACATCTATATATATATAATATCATGAAATGCTGAAGAGTCATGTCTGTTACTAATTCACAGTATCTTTACCGTATATTTCTCACGATTCAGGCGTACTTTACAATGAAATT